TGCGTAGTATTCCATCGTGTATATGTACCACATTTTTTAATTCAGTCCTCTTTTGATGGGGAGCATGGTTGCTTCCATGTTCTTGCTATTGTGAACAATGCCACGATAAACATACGTGTGCAGGTATCTTTTTTATAGAGTGATTTGAGTTCTTCAGGATATATTCCCAGTAGGGGGATTGCAGGGTCATATGGGAGGTTGATATTTAGAGCTTTTAGGAATCGTCACACTGCTTTCCACAGAGGTTGCACTAGTTTATACTCCCACCAACAGTGTAGAAGTGTTCCCTTTTTGCCACACCCTCTCCAGCAGCTGTTATTTTTTGAGTTGTTGATAATTGCCATTCTGGCTGGAGTTAGGCGGTATCTCAGTGTGGTTTTGATTTGCATCTCCCTGATGATTAGTGAAATTGATCATTTCTTCATGTCTGTTGGCTGCTCGGATGTCTTCCTTTGTGAAGTGTCTGTTCATATCTTTTGCCCATTTTATAATGGGGTTGTTTGTTTTTTTCTTTTCAGCACGTTTGAGTTCCTTGTATATCAAAGATGTTAAGCCTTTGTCTGACCTGGTGTTGGTAAATACTTTTTCCTAGTCTGTAGGCTGTCTCCCTGCTCTCTTGATGGTTTCTTTGGCTTTGAAGAAGCTTGTCAGTTTAATAAGGTCCCACTTGTCTGTCTTCTCTCTTATGACCTGTGGGTTTCGGGTTTTGCTCAGGAATTGGAGGACAGTTCCGATTTCCATGATGGTACGTCCTTCATTTTCTAAGGTTCCTATGGTTTGAGGTTTTACATTTAGATCTCTGATCCATTTGGAGTTAACCTTTGTGCATGGGGATAGATAGGGGTCCTGTTTCAATCTTCTGCATGTGGTCAGCCAGCTTTCCCAGCACCATTTACTGAATAGGTTCTCCTCTCCCCAGTGGTAGGTGGTGGAGGCTTTGTCGAAGATGAGTTGGTTGAGAAATTGAGGCTTTGCTTCTGGAATCTCAATTCTATTCCATCAATCTATATGCCTATTCCTATACCAAAACCAAGCTGCTTTGATGATTGTAGCTTTATAGTAAAGTTTGAAGTCTGGTAATGTGATACCACCTGCTTTGGTTTTTTTTTTGCTGAGGATTGTTCTGGCTATTCTTGGCCGTTTGTGTTTCCATATGAATTTCTGTGTTGTTTTTTCTAGATCTGAGAAGAATGTTGCTGGTAATTTGATGTGTATTGCATTGAATTTAGTAGATTGCCTTAGGTAAGATGGACATTTTCACAATGTTGATTCTTCCAATCCATGAGCATGGGATATTTTTCCACTTGTTTGTGTCATCTTTGATTTCTTTGACCAGTGTTTTGTAGTTTTCATTGTAAAGGTCTTTCACGTCTCTGGTTAGGAAGATGCCAAGGTATTTCATTTTTTGTGTGTGTGTGTGGCTGTTGTGAATGGAGTTGTGTTTTTTATTTGGGTTTCTGTTTGTTTATTATTGTAAAGAAATGCGATTGTCTTTTGCACATTTATTTTATATCCTGAGACTTTGCCAAAGGCCTTTATCAGTGTAAGGAGATTTTTGACAGATTCTCTTGGGTTTTCAAGGTACACACTCATATCATCTGCAAAGAGAGATAACTTGACTTCCTCTTTTCCTATTTGGATACCCCTGATTGCCTTCTCTTCTCTGATTGCTTGAACCAGGACTTCCAATACTATATTGAACAGGAGGGGTGAGAGTGGGCATCCTTGTCTTGTTCCAGTTTTCAGGGGAAATGGTTCTAATTTTTGTCTATTTAGGAGTATGCTGGCTGTGGGTTTCTCGTAGATGGCTTATACTATTTTGAGGTATGTTCCCCGTATGCCTAGATGTTCGAGAGTTTTTATCAAGAAGGGGTGCTGGATTTTATCAAAAGCTTTTTCTGCATCTAATGATATAATCATGTGGGTTTTGTTTTGACATCTGTTGATGTATTTAATTACATTTATGGTTTTACAAATGTTGAACCAGCCTTGTATCCCAGGAATGAAGCCTACTTGGTCATGATGGATGATTTTTGAGATGTATTGTTGAATCCGGTTTGCTAGGATCTTGTTGAGAATTTCAGCATCTATGTTCATCAACGATATTGGCCTGTAGTTCTCTTTCTTTGTTGGATCTTTACGTGGCTTAGGTTTCAATGTGATGTTGGCTTCGTAAAATGATTTGGGGAGAATTCCATCTTTTTCAATCTCCTGGAATACCTTCAGTAGGATTGGTATCAGCTCCTCCTTAAATGTCTTGTAGAATTCTGCTGGAAAGCCATCTGGACCAGGGCTTTTTTTTGTAAGTAGTTTTCTTATTGCGTAGTCAATTTCCTTGATTGTTATTGGTCTTTTTAGGGTCTCAATTTCTTCTTGTTCCAACTAGGTAGGTTGTGTGATGTCAGAAAGTCCTCCATTTCCTTAAGGTTTTCAAGTTTGTTTCCATACAAGTATATGTAGTAGTCTCTAATGATCTTTTGTATTTCTTCAGGGTCAGATGTGACTTCATCTTTTGTGTTTCTGATTGTGCTTATTTGGGTTTTTTCTCTTTTTTTCTTGGTCAGTCTAGTTA